AGCCGTTGTGCCGCAAAGACCAATTCAACTGGTAACTGAAACGCTCTTCCAGTACACCCGCCGAACAGTGATGAGAATGGCTACCAGTTGACCTGCAAAACACTACGAAAACTTTTATACTTTAAATGATCCAACACCTTGGAATCTGTTTGGAGAGAAACCAACTGGTCTGTGCCCTCCTAATCATCAATCCAGCAAGGATCCTGACCCGCCACTTCCTCCTAAATTAATGTTCTCAGCCGATTGCCGACACCATTAGGCTTCGTAGCCCGAGGCTAAACAATGGAAATCATATCATGAGCAATGTGACCAATGAACCACACAAGTGGCAAAGTCTGTGTCACTACAAACAATTGAGAAATCAAAAATGTTGAATAGAAAATAACCCGCACCCCCCTCAATAAAAAAGAAAAAAGCCCCTAGATGTCCTTCATGATAGAGGTGGCGCCCCCCTCCCTCTCTCATGGAAAATTCACCCCGTCTTGATAAGAACAGTGTGATCTAAAAGCAAAACGTCCACGTGGAAACATTCATCTTTTTTAAAGGTGTCATTAAGTTTGCTCGCAGCGGCGTTGCTCGTTCCACCACCGGCGTCACACACCACGGCTCCGGACAATCCGCATTTATTATTCCAAACTGAATCCTCCTTCAGATCGTGTGCGCAGGCAGGCCACAATCTGTTAACAGGGGGTAAATCTCCGAGCCCTAATTTAACGCCGCTGATCCGGTGCAGAGGAGGTGTATCCCAGCCCAGCCACAAATAACCAAGAGCGCACCGCAGGCAGGCAGGCCCATGGCGCTCGGCCATCCGCTCCACTCACATATTATTACTGACACAACAACGAGCCTACGCGCGCACGGAAACACATCCCCATCACCCAGTGTGACACAGTGACGAAAGCTTCGACCATTGACTCCAACGAAAAATTAAAATCCTCGGCAGAACGACTGGCAAGGCCAACTTATTTCCCCCCCATCGAACAGCCGGGCTTGTTTCTCACGGCGTGTCCTCCCGGCGGCTCATAGCGCACATCCAGGAAGACACAAAACAACAATGCGGGGAAACAAAGTTCAACCCTGTTAATGCGGGATGGATTCGTGCTGCCCAGGCAGGAGTTATTCAACGCCTGACAGATTGGGAGCTTAGCCTAATCGCTCCAGCGGTCGCCAAATCAAAAACAGTCCCGTCCAGTGTCGGTTGGTCGGTGAGGCCTGCTGTCCGCTGGGAGGAAGGAAGGCCACCGGGTGAAAGCTCTACCTCCTCCTAGGCCGCCTCACGAAGCTCCGCTGGCCCGCTGACGCCACTGATACCAAACTGTTGGTCCCCCACCAAGCAAGGCAAATAAGACTGAGCCAGTTGTCCAACCATGGTGAACAAAACCCTTAGCCTACCCTCCGGCCCGGTGAGATTAATGCAGGCAGCGCCCGACCAATCCGCCTCAGCCAACCCACAGTGACGTCACGGTAAATCTCCCCTGATTGTCCACCGCCGTGCTAGCCAAGTGGCGCCGTGCGGGCTGGGGGTGCAAGCCAGCGGGGTTGCTTGCTGCTCCAAAGGCCCAATGACCACCTGCACTGAGACCGTGAATAACACAGCGTCTGCAAGCTTCCCCAAGTTCACCAAAAACCAATATCTGAGTGAGCAAAGTGCAGCGCGAAAGCCAAAAAATACCAGTGGAATATAAAAGTTACAGGAAGGAAACCAATATATATTTATTGTTATGAACCAAGTAACCAAAAGAATTACATACATTTTAGCAAAGTGTTGGGGCAGAAAGGCAATGACCTGTAATAATATTACAGTAAGCTAGTAGTGTTTAACCTAAGTAAGCTGATTCCCCATCCCTTTTAGTTATGCTGCTATAGGCCTAGACTATCGGGGATCTCCCCCATAATTCACCTGAGCTCCCTCCTCTTCCCTCAATCCTCTCCTCCATTTCTTGCCAAAGCTCAAGATTTCCCATGTCCATGTAATCGCATGTTCTAACTTCACTCTCCTTCCCCCCGGAGTTAATTGTGGCTTTTATCGTCTTGCAGGTTCTCATGGATCCTGGTGGAGCCTCCCTGGCCCCATGGTCTCTGCTAGAAAACTACCAAATTGCTAATATCACTGTTGATAATTTTATTAGTTATTATTAAGTATTATTATTGCTACAAAGTTACTGGTTGTTACTGTTGTCCGGCTTGGCTTCCGCGTGTCCCCATCCCCCGTTTGCTCGCTGTCATCGTCAACCCGTCTTTTTCCCCATGATCCAGTCATCAATCAATTTTAATAATTAATGTAGCTTTGGTTGCTACCTGTTTCCTGCCTGGTACAAATCTGTTTGGTCTCTCCCGTTTATTCGAGGGTTTTTACCTATTTTCTGTCTCGGCGGTCGCGCCATTGTGGGGAGGAATGGAGCTCTCCTGGTCTCGTGAAAATCTCCTTTGTAGAACATACATGTGTTTTTTCATGGTTCTATGTATAGACTCGTTGATACTGTTCGTCAGTGAGATGATTTGTATTGATTTTTGTTATCGAGTGATTATTATTAGATTAATTTAAAGTGATCTCGTAGAGGGTGGTATACAAGGCACAGTCACGACCTAGTTGGTTTTCGTTGTGAATGGAGGTGCTCTATACGATGAGTCTGGTCCTTGCCAGTATTTTGTCCTTCTAGAATATTCTCAGCTCCAAGTTCATACTTATTTTATGTCATTATGTTATGTTCACTGTATAATCTTTCAAATATAAGTCTGCATTTAAGTTTTCATTCATCTAATTCATTAGTCGGTCACGTTACTCGAATACGTGTTAGTGGAACACATGTTTTCGCGTTGGCAAGAAGTCACGTATTAGAAGCCTGGTTCAGGAAGAGGGGAATTGTACCTTTGAAACCCACTTGAGATATTTTTATACTTGGAACACAGTGTGCTTTTTTAGGTGTTTTTGTCTTTTTTTTTTCTTTTATCGCTGTTTGTTGTTTGATCGCTGGTATAAGAGGGTTGCTTAGGGTATTGTGGGGGGTGGTGGCTACTGTTGTGTATTGTTACTGGTTCATTCGTTCCGAGTGATCCGTCCAGCTCAAAATGCAAGTCAATCAGTGACTTGATTAGTAATAATCGCGTAGACTGTACTATAAAATTGATAATTATAATAATGAATAATAATTATATTGAATATATATTATGGATTTTGGTATTTTATTATTATTATTATTATTATTATTGTATATTATTTGAATATTTCAAGTTAAAGAAGCAAGTTAAATAGGGTCATTATGTACTAACTTTAACCAGAGCTTGTCTTCTGTGCTGGGTGATAGACTCTTGAAATCCTGATAATAAATTATTGCTATGTAAAAAGTCACACAACTGTTGCGGACTACTTTTCCAGAATCCTTAGAGAGGGAAGGGGAGGTTAGAAATCAGTCTATATATATTATAAGTTGGCTAAAACCCCTGGGTCAAGAGTGGGCTTTTTAGAAGGGGTTTAATTAACAGTACTGTTAAAGGACTGTGGTACATACCTGATATAACGAAAGTTATAAGTATAATAAGGTAAAAGAGTGCCAATTAAGGGTACAACTTTCTTTAAGCAGGCCTAGTTGGATTGGATCTAACACGACAGGTTGATGGCTCCGATATATGTATATGTATTTGTATGTGTATATATAAATTATGCAGCATCATATAATAGCTTATACTGTTTATAGTATCATATAATAATAATATGCATTTATACCACTACAGTATAATATACTAGAGCATTGTAGTCTGACCCAGCGGGCAGGAGACTGGACCTCTCAATGGTTAAGGGGAAGGCTGCAGATAATTTATGAAAGTTGCAATTAAACATCACCAACTTGTGATATATTTTCATAACCGAAAAGCAATGTCCACTTTCCCAGACACGCTAAGAATGCCCGAAAGTAACGAAGCTACCGCATTATGAAGCTTTATGAAACAGGGTACATTACAAAATAAAGCCTAATTCTAAGACTGGTTGCAAATAAGGCGAATAAGGCTAGGATCTGATAATTTATTGGTGACTTTCACTGCACCATGAAACCTCTCAAACGGCTATAGACATTAACCATCCATAGCACTGCGGTGTTATTGTACTTTGAAAAGCTCCTCTGGTTGGAGAACGTGAGCTTGTTGGTGGTTTTTGATCTTAGTCTGCTGCCCATGCTGTTTGCCCTTGACTGATCCTATATTGAAAAAGGTTCACTTGAAGGTTGCTCTGGAAAGGGCTGTAGCTATGAAAGAGTTGGAATTGATCTTTATTTAAACACCTGCTGCTGTGTTCGCTTACAAAGGTTTCTGGCATTCCCGCAATTTAAACGCATTCTTGACTATTCTCCATAAAAAGGTGCTCAACAAACACACAGAAAGAAAGATCGTTGTATTTTTTCTCTCGCGGCCCCTCCTGTCAATCAGCTGTCACATTTTCTTCAACCAAATATTTTTTTTTTTTTTCCCTCAGATTTAATGCATTATGGCGGAGTAAATGTAAATGGACCTGTACTAATATATTTATTATATTTATTTTATTATGATTTATTTTTCTAGTTATTTCACTACATGCTACCATTCACCCCTTTTACACACATTCACACCAGCTGATGGCAAAGCCCATCAACAGAAACTAACACATTCATACCACATTCACACCCACCGATGCTCAGCATCTTGGAGCAAATTTGGGTTCAAGTATCTATGCTCAAGGATATTCGACCCACCGTGGTGTGGAGGAGCCGGGGATCGAACCACAACCTTCCGATTAGTGGACGACCCGCACTGCCTCTGAGCCCCAGCCAACCCAGCCGAGAGTGTTCTTTATATTATGACAGTTTTCTCAAATCTTGCAATATATGACACCTTTGTCGCCAGACTCATATATATATATATATATATATATAAAGTAATTCTATCAATTTACCTAACAATACCAAAGTGCTAACTCCTCATAAGAGCCACTAAACCTTAGTAACACTGTGTTTGTCCTCTTTGCCCAGGTCAGTGACGGACCCTAGAGATGGAAAGCGAGTTGCCCTCAAAAAGATGCCCAATGTCTTCCAAAACCTTGTTTCTTGCAAGAGGGTATTTCGGGAGCTGAAGATGCTATGTTTCTTCAAACATGAAAATGTAAGTACACAGCGATGCTGAAATTTGTCATCGGCAGACACAAGTGCACTCTTAGACCCCCTGTCCACCTGGTATTAGGATGTATGGATCCTCAGCCAGTTGTGAATGACCGCTGCCCTTCAAAAAGCTACAGAAAAGTCCTTCCTCGGTGAGGGAAAAATAAGTAGACCAAGAAGTGTAACAGGTTTTCCACTGACACAGATTACATTCTTATAGAGTTAGTAATGTTAGCCCAGTTAGCAGTGTTCCAGCCCGGCCTACCTGATTTGCATATTGAGATGAGATCCAGATATGGTCAGAATCAACACTTATTTACACAAAGTTGTGATGATCAAATGTAATTACCCTGAAAACACATCCAGATACAGATACATTGTAATAACCTGGAAATCTTAAAAAAATATATACCTTGGCTTTAACTCTCTCCTCAGGTGCTCTCTGCTCTGGACATACTACAACCTCCACACATCGACTACTTCGAGGAAATGTATCCTTTACATTTGATTAATTCAAACATGGATCCAGGGATTGCTTTATTGACATGTTCTAAACCTGTGACCAGCAATGGAACGGTTCAGTAGTGCCTTGATCAAAGATCTCTTTCAGCTGGACCTTTATCGGTTACAGCTTTAGCCTTTAGCTGTTTTTAGTACTTGTTGGAGTACTAAAAACAGTAACAACACACAAAATGTCTATTTCAAAAGCAGTTTCCAGTTGAGTGTGAAAATTAATTCTTGATGTTGGAAATAGTAGTTTGAAAAACAAATGGACTCCAAGTTGTATACGAGCCACTATTAGATGTCTTGTTTAATGCAGTGTCTAATTAAACTGGAGTATGTTAGCAGCTGAGATGCATTAACAATACAAAGAACACTATACTGTTGGGTCTCTGTAAATGTTAAAAGGAGTTCGGTCTA